CAAAAGAGGCACTTCTAGGCTATGGTAGGAAGGAATATCAACAATTCCCTTTCCAAGTGCCCTGCTGCCCTGGGAAGTCCTGCTGGAGACTGTGATGCTCCTGCACTGAGTCACTGGAGCTGCTCTTGTGCAAGGATGCACAGGCTGGGTCAGGGCACCCCCAAACCTGGAGTTACAGTGAGATTCCAGCCCTGTGTGCTGGAGGTTTTCCCTTTAAAAGGAAGAAAATGCACTTTCAGAAAAACCAGTTTCTTTCTTCCCCCCCCCCCCATAGTTTGACATCGTCTGCTTGCAGGGTGGCACATGAAGGGAAGCATGTGATCAGGGCTTTGCTCTTGGTCTCAGCTGTAATTTAAGCTTCCTGCAGCAATGCTGTCCTTGTTAGGATTTTTTTCCTGGGACTGTTTTTTGGTTTGTTTTGAACTTTTCCATGTATGGAAAAGGCAAGCAGAAAACTGCAGTGAAGGTGGAAAGGAACCAAGGGAGTAGAGCTGGTGGCTCCTGTGCTGACACAGGTGACTGTCTAAGGCACAAGGAGAAGGTTTTGCAGTATCTGCTGAGCCTTTTGCATAAGTCCTGCAGTTGTTTTCTCAATCTGCTCTGAAAATGTCTGTTCAGAGCTCCCCAAGACCAGTATTTCTCTAAACACCACGTCAGGTGGGTGCTAAAGCCACAGCAGAGCTCAAGAACAGCACCCCTGTCCCTAAAAGTCATAATTCCTTCTGAGAAACTGGATTTCTCCTTGAGAATTCACTTGAATGGAACATATTTGAGTTTTCAACACACCTAAAACTTTGTCTGCAACTTGTTTTGTGGGAACAGTGTTTGAAAAAAAAAGCTCTCTGGATGTTGTTTTTTAATCTGGGAGGATAAAATATTTGGGGCTGGTAGAGTTGGTGCCACACTCCAGACAGGATCCCTAAGGAAAAGGCCAACTTAAAGGAGAGGTATGGGATAGTGTTTTCTAGGATAGTAAACTTTGAGGAATAACCTGTTTACAAAATGAATTGGGCTTTGATGTAGGTGATAAATTGCTGGTGGAAGTCTTGAGGCCACAGGTGGATGTCCTGCTGGCAACAGGCAGGAGAAAAATGTCCTAGCTTTTAGCAATTAGTTAAGGAAGACTAATTGGAGGTTGCCAGGAGAAGACAGAGTTTGCCAATGGTACCGAGTTATTTGGGGTAATAAAGTGACGCTGGTTTGTAGGAAGACCTTGAATTGCTGATTGACTGGATGATCTGGTGAGTGATAAAATTCATACAGATAAAAATCAGGCAGTGCAGACAGAAAAAGTCCCTCATCCTTCTGCAGTAACAGGCCCTGAGGTGACTGTTGGTACTCAGACACTCCGTGGGCGTGTGGTACAATATCAACAGTGTTCAGCAGAATTGCCCCAAAAAAGTAAATTGTATGTTAGGAATGATAAGGAAATTATTAGGAAATCCTGCTGCTGTGTGCACCCCCAATGCACCCGTATTTCTGGGCTATTCTAGTGTCCTAGAATGAGGCAAGAGCTGGAAAAGGTAGGGAAGAGCAGCAGGATTAATAAAGGAACCAAGTGGCTGCTGTGGGAAGAGCATGTGAGTAGGAGGGACTGTGATCTGGCAGAAGGGAAAAGATGAGGAGGATGTGGAGGAGGATTGTGAGTGCTGGAAAACCAGGAGTTGAATGGAGGAGGTGAGCACGAAGCACTTATTCCAGGTTTGAAGCAGCTCCTCAGGGTTTCTTCCAGTGTGAGAGTCCACATCAAGGGGAGTTTTCCAGAGGCGGATGTGGCACAAGCAGGAGGTGCTGCTGTCCTGCCTCCTGCCGCCATGCCATGGGATGTTTCCTGCCCCAGCCCTGGAAACCTCTGTGAGTGCAGAAAGTTGGGATGAGAAGGAAATGCCCTTGGGGGTTGCTGAATGTGAGCTGATGCCTCTGGCTTGGGAAGCTGCTGCCCCCGGCTCGCTGGGAGCTGCAGGGATGTGTCAGGGAGGTGTCGGTGCGTTCACCCTCTCCCTGTGCTTTTCCCCAGGCCCTGGATCTGTGTCTGATGGGGGAGCTGCCGTGTTGCAACCATTGTAACAGGCCAAGGATGGTATTTTACAGTCTGGGAATTGGCTACAGCTCATTTTTGATGAACAAGAAAGCAAAAGTCAAGCACCAAGGGATTTATTAAGTATTCGATTTATTAAGTATTCTCAGCAGGCAGAAGTGATGCACTTGATGACAACCTGTGCTGTGAAAATCCCGAGTGCTTTTTGAATTCTGCATTTCACAGGGACCCTTTGTTTGAAATAAGTCCCCTTTGTATTTCAGGGAGTTTTCTGGCATTTCTGTGACAACATGTGGTCAAATGCACTAAGCTGGCTCCTTATCCACCTTTCCCACAGGGGATACTGGGAGGTCTTGTGTGGGCACTGAAAGAGATGTTGAACCAGAGTGGTGGGAGATGGGTGCCATCCAGGCCTGGAAAACTCTTGTTTACACGTGGCTGTGCTGTCCATGATGCTTCTGGCTCAGAGCCCTCAGGGGTGTGTTCAGCTGCCTTTCCCCAGAACAGAATTTCACAGAGGAATGCAGAAAGCAGGGAAAATGTCTTCACAGGAACCACCACACCCTCCACATAGGGCAGCTGTGTCTGGGGCGTCCTTACAAAGGGTATAAACATGGTGTGACAAAGCAAAGTCTGGTTTGGGGTGAAAGAATGGACACAGTGCTGTGTTCCCTGCTACAGAATGGAGGCTTGGAATGGTTGTAGGGTCGAACTGCTGACTTAACACAAACAGTTGTTTCGCTGGCTAAAAGTGGAGGAGAAAGGGCTGATGGATCGTACTTAGGACAAGGAGAACAGGATCACATCTGTAGGTAGAGCTTTGGGTAGCACCAGTAGCTAATGGAGTATCCTTTCCCCTTCCCTGTAAGTGATTCCATAGTAAATCCACAGCTGCTCTGAGGAAAAGCTTGTGGCCTGGTTTTCCTACTGGACTGTGACTGAGGGAATTCCAGAGGAAGGAAAGTGCCCCTGCTTTCCTTGGCAAGGGGCCGTGCAGGTTTGGGCTGTGGCTTGAGGGTGGAACATGCCCTGAGCTCTCCAGCCCCATGGCAGCGACGTGAGTCTCCCTGGGAGTGGGATTCCCTGTGGATGTGGGGAGTTCCCTGCTTTCAGTAGCACTTTCCTACCACTACTGAGCAGGAGGTTTGGGGTTTTCCTTTGTGACCTCCACACACAGCGAGAGGAACGACACCGAAGCGCCCCCGCGGAAAACCACTTGAGAAGGGCCCCGCTCCTTCTCGGCATGGGTCACAGCCGGGCCCCATCCCGGGGCAGCAGAGTCTGGGGAGCAAGACATGCCCAGTGCGGCATGGAAAGGGAGTCACTGCGGGCTGGCAGCAGGAGGAGCCCCCTCCCAGTGGAAATGCTGCTCTCCTGCCCTCCCAGCCCGCCAGGGTTCCCCTGCTCCCCGCTGCGGGAGCTCCTCCCAGAGCTGCTCCGTGGTTTTCCTTCACAGAAAGTTTCTCTTGAGAGACAGGGCAGAATGAACCTTGGCGTGTGTTCAAGAGCACTGGAGATAAGACTGAGCAGGGCCTTTGAAGAGCCAGGAGACAAGATAAAAGCTCTAGAGTGCAGTTCAGCACCGACACAGTCGGCTATTATTTACACTCAGGTCTGTGTTTGCCTTTCGGTAACGAGGGACAACAAGGGCTCCTCCATTTCAGGAGGGTTTTGGAGGCACCAAGACCCCAGAATGCTGACAGAGAATGTAATAATAATTCAGGCCAAAATCCAGGATGTTTTAGGCCAGACTGCTGTGCTGTTGGCTGCTCCTTGGGGTTTGTTTAGATGTTTCGGGAGGCGTTGGCTTTGAGACAGGCATACTTCTCATAGGAACAGAAGTTGTACTTTCTGACTGTTGCCAGGATGAACCAGCTCTGTCCTCCATCCACATTCTGGTGTTGTTAAACCCAGAGATGCAGCCTGAACTGAACATGTGCAGGGAGAAAATGATACCGAGGGATGTCACACACCGTGTTTTGAGATGATAAAGTAGGAGCGAGTGGGAACGTTTAGGAACCACCGGGAACAGCCACAGTGCCCTCGGAGCTGAGCCGTGGGCTGTGAGCCACAGGCTGTAAACACTGTGGGTGGTCAGTGGTTCTGCTGCAGCACAGGGGTTGGGGCAGCTCTGGGACTGGGATTCAGCAACGTGTGTGAGCCCAGGATGGAGCTAAACCAAGTCTCATTCCAGCCCTCCAAGTAGAGAACGATCCCACGGGGCCATATGGAGACACTGATCCGTGTGTATGCAAGGTAGAAGCCTGTGGCTGGCAAGGGATTTATAGATGGGGGAGCAGGAGCTGAGCAGGGAAGGAGAGCAGTAACCTTGCTGGGCCCTCCTTCTGCCTCCTCCATCATTGCACAGTGGGAGCTCCAGCACGTGGGGCCGGGAGTGCCCGAGGACGCACAGGCTCCTCCGTCCCTGGCAGTGTGTCCCTGTTTGATTCCAGAACCCTATGGATTATTTTGTGCCTAGGAATCCATGTGCTGCTGCATTTTCCAGTTCCTTTAGATAAGACACTGAGAGCTGGGAGTGCTTCGCTGCGGGTTTTGGGCTGCCTGTGTCCCTGAGCTGGTTGGCACAGGGACAGGCCGGTCCTCCCTGCTCCCAGCCATCGCCTCCAGCTTGGGGGACAGGAGTGGTACCTCCAGAGTCAAAGGTGTTGGAAATTCTCAGGTGCTCCCTTTTCCCCTTCTGGCAACCAAACAAGACCTTTCTTCTCCAAAAGAGAAGACTTGCTGTCCTGTCCTCAGTGCCACAGGACACAGATCTTTCAGGGCGCAGTGACCTGTGTGGCTGTGGCAGCTCCCACTGGCGCTCGGCTCTGTCCCCTTCCAAGCAGAGAAAGGACCATCCCTCTCTGTCTTGCATCTGGCTCTGGCTCTTTGTTTATATTTGCATGAGAATTTGCTTTTCTCTGGACTATGGCTCTGCTCTGTACAGCTGAGGATTTTAGGGAAATCAGGAGGGTGGGATGTGAAATGGGAGCTGACTGTGTTTCAGCTCTGCTGGTGGGTTGTTTTCTGCTTGTTTGGGCTTTTTTAAGTGGATTTGCTGAGCATGTTTCCTTTCTGATTTGCATGGCTAATATCCTTGTCCTGCTTTTCATGCAGCAATTCCTATTTTTCCTTTATGGCCACCTGCAAGGTGACTGAGTAATTCTGGAGTGAAGCTTCAGCGCAAGGTGATGAAGGAGTGCAGGTTGTGGGGGTTCAGATCTCCTGGACACATTCTCTGGTCCTCTCTCCCCATCTCCATTGGGTGCTGAATCCATCCCTGCCTGGAGGAAGGCAAAAGCTCTGGTGCAGCCCTTGTCCTGCTGGGGCCATGGCTGGGCAGGAAGGTCTGGAGAGCCAGGTGACAAGTGTCTGCAGGAGAGCAGTGTGTGGAGAAGGAAGGGCTGGGAGGAGCCCCGGGTAACAAATACAGGAAATGAGTTCAGCACAACCACAAGTTCTCCATTGTCTGGGCCCCATCTCCTGTGCAGCCCTGGAGTGAACAAACACCACTGGCTTTGCAGGATGACGTTAATTTGGAGTTAAAACTCCAACCCTCTGCTGCTGGTACTGAAAAGTGGAGCTCCGTGGAGGAGTTGCCACGAGCAGGAGATGGGGGTGTGTGGGTGGTGCTCAGCTCTTCCAAGGAAAAGGGCTCACGAGGGGAGAATGAGCCACTGGAGAAATTCCCTAGCGGAAAATAGGCACATTTTCTGCTGGGTGAGTGCTCCCCCTTCCCCCTCTCCAAATGCTCTGGGATTAAGCAGGTTTCAGAGTTACTCCCTTGGAGAGGTGCTTTTCCAAAAGGAGAGACAGTGGTCAGGTGATCCTGATTTACAATCCAGCCCATCCTATTTTTCCTAAAGATGCCTGTTTGCTACAGATGTGTCAGAATTGCAGATGCTCCAGAAAATTGGAAAATTGCAGTGGAAAAAATCAGCAGTTCCTTATAAACTGTCTATGCAGCTCTGTGTGTGACGTGGTGCAGACACATGGTGCCTGAAGCTGAGCTTAGATTCCAGCTCCAATTTAACATCCCAGTCTGACCTGCTGTGACAGTCCCAGATTGTGGATTTTGCCCTGTTTCTGAAGGAGCAGGTGCTCTGACAGTGCCCTGTTTGCTTGGACAGGGGTTTAGCCTGCATTTCAGATAATGAATTGCTGTGCTTTATTGGAGGAGTGGGAATTTTGTCTTTCCATTATGAACAGCACCACCAGTAGAACTCTGGGATACCTTGGCTTAGCAAGACCTCACGTAGGAATGCAGAAAATGCTGAATAATTTAAAGGATTCTATAAATACTTTGATATGGTGCTGAAATCCAAGTACCACTAATCGGATGAGCCTTATACTTAACAAAACAAATCCCTGGTGAGCCATTGCTGTAGGATACTGGAATTGCTATGGAAAAAAACCACTGTTAACAACTGACAACAGCAGAAAATGGGACTTGGAGGGAGAGAGCCCAGCCCTGCAGTGACTGGGGTCCCAAAAATGATCTTTCTTGTGGAGGGAGGTTCCAGGTAAAGGTGTCACACTAGTCAAAAAGACTCTTCTAGTGTGTGTTTTGACAAAATCACCCTGTTACACACCTCTGGTGTGAGCACCCAAACCCTCCTCTGCTTGTCTGCACGTCCATCCCAGAGTTCCAGAAGGAAATTCTTTAAGGGCAGTCTCCAACTGTGCCTTTTCAGACCAAAACAGTGTTTGTGGTGTTTGTCACGGGGGTAATGTCCCAGGTAATGCAGGTAATCCAGAATAAAGACAAAAAATAAGGAAAGCCAAGGAAAGGAAGGTTGCCTTAAGCAATTTTGCAACCCTTGAGGAGCTTGCTGTGGATTTGGGTCAATGTTTGGATTGGGGCCTGGTTTTTTGGGTGCAGTTTTACCCTCCTTCTCCCATCATCCCCCTCTGTTGTGTTTCTTTGGCAGTGCCAGAAGCTCCGAGAGGTTTTTAACCTGGATTACCCTCACAGCACCTTCCTGCTGAAGACCCTGACCATTGTGTCTGGCCCTGATATGGTTGACCTCACTTTCCATAACTTTGTGTCCTACAAGGAGAATGTTGGCAAGGTATTGGATCCTGAGGGCATGGGAGCACTGGGAACCACTAAGGGTTGGGGCGTTCACTGGGGAGCAGGAAAGGAGAGGACCCTGAGCCCTGTCAGTGCTACTGGCAAGGTTATAAACAAGCAGGTTTGTGCTCCAGTCAGGTGTGGGTCCTCTGTAGTTCTAGAAACTTCTGCCCCACATGGAGAAGGACCAGTAGAAGGTATTTAGTGAGTCATTGTTGTCCTTTGTGTGTTTTGTAAGGATGAACAGAAGCTGGGAAGTGGCGAAGTTTCAGCTGCTGGTGTCTGTAGGCAGGGGGAAGGTGATAGAGCCAAGTCTGGGGCACAGATGTTGGGATTTGGAGCCCAGCAGTATTGGACAGGACAAGGGGCAATGGTTTTAAACTGGAACAAGTAGATTTAGAGTGGATGTGGGAGGAAATTGTTCCCTGTGAGGGTGGGGAGGCCCTGGCACAGATGGCCCAGAGAAGCTGTGGCTGCCCCATCCCTGGAAGTGTCCAAGGCCAGGTTGGAGCAAGCTGGGCTAGTGGAAGGTGTCCCTGCCTGTGGCCGGGCGTGGGACTGGATGAGCTGTAAGATCCCTTCCAACCCAGACCATTCTGGGATTCTGTGCCCTTTCCATGTGTGCTGTGTGTGTCCCAGAGCAGTTCCATAGTGCCCTGTGCCCTGTGTGTGTGTTCCAGAGCTGGGCTGACGACATCCTGGCCATCGTCCGCAACCCCCTCACCTACAACGCCTCCCGCTACACCTTCCTGGAGAAAATGTGAGTGATCTGTTCTCTGAAACACCTGGGTCCTTTCTGTCTGTACTGGGAAAAAAGGCTTCTTAGCATCCAGGTCCCTTGGCAGCCTCCAGACCAAGGCCTGGCTCAGGCCAGGGTTAAGCTGAGGTTCTGCAGGGCCCTGGTTTTCAGTTCACTGGTAGACTTTTTTTCCCAATAACTTATTTTTTCTCTCTCCTTACTTAATAGGATCTCCAAGATTGTACACGTGCATTTTCATAATCTTGTTTGGTTTTTTTTCCACAGCCTGGTGAAGCTGAAGATGCAGCTGAATGCAGAGGGGAAGATTCCTGTCAGGAAGTGAGTGTGGATGTTTGTTTTACTGTGTGTTCAGTCAGACTAGAGGCAGAGCAGGTGGTAAGAGAATGGTTCCCAGTGGCCTCAACCGCCTGTTTTTCCTGCATCTAAGAGGTAGAGATCATTCCCTCTGGATTCAGGCCATGGGAGGGCTCCTGCTGCACCTTGGTTCCTCCCCAGGACCTGACACATAATTTGGGTTGGGGACATAATTTGGGAAAGGGGACTTTGGCCTTTATTTACAGCAAGAAATGGCCTTAAACAGCCATAGATCTCACTTCCTGGCTGTTGCCAACAAATAATCAACAAAACCAAACAGCTCTAGTAAAATTCTGATCACGGATTGTTTTGCAAATCTGAGTTGATACCTGGATGAGGTGTAGGATCAGTTTGCCTTTCCTGTGAGGAGTTCTGGATTTGGAGAGCTCTTTGCTGGGCTCCCTTGCTTTCATTTGTCTTCTTTTCTCCCGTGTGACCACTCCAGCTCTTCTCCCCGGTCCTTCTCCACTTCTGCCATCCCTCAGCCTGCAGGATATACATAAATTACCTTTTGTTTAAGAATAAGGAGCTGCAGACAGAACATTTGGGAGGTTTTGAACGGCTCTGCTTTAGGGCTGAGCTGTGTCACAGCATCACAAAGGCGGGCACTGATCACCCCTAATAAACACCCTCCCCGGGGGTGCTGTGTGGCAGAAGGTGCTGGATTAGGGCTGTGCTGGCTGATTGGGCCCCTGGACGGCTGAGCTTTATTCAACACGAAACATTTGCTGTTATTTGTTTTCTAAACCACCTACCAGCAGAATTTCATTCTGTCAGAAACCAGCGTATTCATCAAAGGGCTGTTAAAAATGTATAGGTCTATAATGAATAACACACTAGGGAAGAGTGCTTTGAATTGATCTTTAAAATGCAAGCCAGGGTAGCGTTGCTGCAGGGGGAACCGGCTTATTCCTCTGAAACAACGAGAAAGAATATCTGGTACAGGCTGTACCTCTCCTCAGTGCCCATTTCCTGCAGAATGGTAACAATTCAGACCATTAAATAGTCCAGACTAAAAGCCAGACTTATAAAAATACTCAGTATCTCCAGGTGCAGATAAATGTAAGGCTTTCAAAACTCCATGTCTGAATTATTCTGAAAATTGCACGAGCATCTGCCTTTCTCTTTAGACATGTAAATCCCTTTGGAATCATGCCAGGGCTGCTGCAGTTTTGCCTTGCAAAGGACACTGGGTTTGCATGAGCTGCTGCAGCCCCCCCAGCACTCCCACCTGGCAGCACAGGGCACTCCCTGGTCCCTGTTTGGCTGTGAGCACCAGGGATGCCGGGAGCTTAACAGAGCTGAGCCTCAATTTGTCCACAGAGGAGAGCACAGTGCTGCTGCCTGGGATGTTCTGAAAGGAGGAGGGTTCAGTTCTTGTTCCTGCTGCACACTGCAGCTGCTTTAAGCTGAATGTTTGACCCAGGGAATTGTGCCCTGCAGACTAGTCCCAGCTTTCCCCACTGGAAAGGAGCTTTGGTTCCTGCAGTAGTCGTGTGGTATCCCGGTCTCTGCCTGTGCATTGGGTTTGTTCCTTGAATTTACAGAAAGCCTCTGGTTCCAGAAAATGTTGCCTTCTTTCAAAGCAGCGAACGTGCAGAACGGTTGTTTGGAGTTTTTGAATGTTGCCTTGACTACAGAGCAATTCCCTGCCAGTGGCAGCTCCCACGGGGGATAGTGTCTGGTGGGCGGAAGTGTCCTGGGAATTGGTGACATGAGGTCTGTTGCCACAGGGAGCACCTCCAAGAGGGTGGGACAGGGAAGAGGGATTTTAAGAGTCACAGGGCTCTTACAGAGTCTGTAGCAGAAATACAGAACTTCTGCATTAGATCAGCAGTCAGAAAATGCTCTGCAGGTTTATCAGTCTCGGTACTTCTGTTACTCCCTTGGAGAAACAGTATCTGTCTGCCCTGGTCCATCAGCCTCCCTCACTGTGCATTTGGAGTGTCCTGCACTGCCTGCAGCCCCAGCCTTCCTGCACTCTTTGCTGCTCCATTGTGATCCCTGTCCTCCCCGTCAGTATTTTTCAGATGTTCCCAGCAGACAGGAAGAGGGTGGAAGCAGCGCTAAGTGCTTGTCACCTCCCAAAGGGCAAGGTAAGGCTTTCTCTGGGTACCCAGAGGTCTTGCTGGCTTGAGAGGGATCCTTTTGCCTGCCCTGACTGCGGTGCCCTTGGGTGTGAAAAACCACCAGCCCAGATGGTCTCAGATGCTGTGAAACCTTTTCTTTACCACTGCCAGGCCTTAACTCCAGCCTGCTGGGGTCAGTTCTGGCTGTATTCCAGGAACACTTGCACTGGGTGGCACAGGGAGCAGCAGCACCTGGGTGGATGTTCCAGTCACTTGTGTTGGCCCAAGGAAGTGTTAAGGAGAGGTTTGTGGTCCTGACACGTTCTCTCTGTGTTCTCAGAATGATGCCATCAACCCAGAGGACTTCCCAGAGCCCGTGTACAAGACTTTCCTGATGAATCTGTGTCCCCGGCCCGAGATCGATGAGATATTCACCTCACAGTGAGTTCCCCTCAAACCACAGCCCAGAACTGGAGCTCTTGTGTCAACAGATAGACAGAAAGGGGGGGGAATTTAATCCCACGTGGTTTGTCTGGTCTGAAGCCTCAGAAAGGCAGGAACAGGGTCACTCAACACCTTCACTCCCAGCCTGGACAGAAAGAATGAGACCTCCCTGTGCTGTGGGGACCCTGAACTGTCCCTAGCAGGAGGGCTGAGCCCAGGTCAGTGCTAGGTCATGCCCATGTGACACTGCTTGTAGCCAGCCCCAAACGGAGACAGTGTGAGAACCAGAGATCTCACAAGTACCCAGGGACCTTTTGCTTTTAAGTACTTAAGTCTGTGGCTTGATTTTACAGGGCAGGCAGTGAATGCTCTGAAATTCAGATCTTTTTAGGGTTCAGGTTAGAGCCTCAAAATGTGCTTTGTCTTCCCCTCAGTACAAGCTGTTCCCGGTATGGAATTATGAGGAAGAAGAAAGGACACAGTGGGAAGCATCGTTTACAGAAAGAAATGTGGACGAAGCAGAAATGTGTGGGCCCAGGGAGGGGGACCCCACTGCTAATCTGTGGAATGGCCAATCTCTCTCCTGTGAAGAGGTTTCCTGGGTAATTCCCAGGCCTTACCTCTGGGATTCTCTCCCCACAGCCATCTAAAAGCAAAGCCCTACATGACCAAAGAGCACCTGGCCAAGTTTATCAACAAGAAGCAGCGAGACTCCCGCCTCAATGACAGCCTGTTCCCTCCAGCCAGACCCGAGCAGGTGCAGAGCCTCATCGAGAAGTACGAGCCCAGCGGGATCAACATCCAGAGAGGTGAGTGTGCCTCAGCCCAGAGGTCTTGCTCTGGAGCTGGACTGGAAGAGCGGAGTGTCTTGTACCTTCTGCCATCCTGCTTCCCAGGGGAGCAGTCAGCCTGGCTCCCACATCTCCCTGTGCTGAGGTGCCTCAGCAGGGAGGTGCCAGATCCATTCTGTGTGGGCACCACTGCCAGCTCTGTTTTCCATGCAGGGCAGCTCTCTCCAGAGGGGATGGTCTGGTTCCTCTGCGGCCCCGAGAATAACGTGGTCGCTCTGGACAAGCTGCTGCTGTACCAGGACATGACCCAGCCCCTCTCACACTACTTCATCAATTCCTCACACAACACCTATCTCACAGGTAAGGGCCGTTCCCGAGGGAGGCACTGTCCCAGAGAGGGATGGATGGATGGCACGGGCAGTGGGGTTTGGGGGGCTGAGGGCTGGGGTGGGCTCTGAACGCTGTGTGAGGAGAAGTGTCACCCTCTGCCTGCAGACCTCTTGCTGGGGGCTGGCAGAGGTTCCTGCTGCTCCTGTCCGTGTGAGGAGTTAAGGCTGAGCCTGTCTCCCACAGCTGGGCAGTTCTCCGGGATCTCCTCTCCCGAGATGTACCGGCAGGCGCTCCTGGCCGGCTGCCGCTGCGTGGAGCTGGACTGCTGGAAGGGCCGGCCCCCGGATGAGGAACCCATCATCACCCACGGCTTCACCATGACCACAGAGATCCTCTTCAAGGTGGGGAGGGCCTTTCTCCAGGGATGCTTTCCCCTGCCTGGCTTCAGACTGGGGAGCTGCCAAAGGGAGGGGCAGAGGGAGGAAAAGGCTGATGGAGGTGGCGAGGGAATGAATGTGTAGGGAGGAGGAAAGGTGAACAGATGGGCACTAGGTTGGGGTTTGTGTGCGTTTTTGGAGCAGGAGGAGCAGAGAGGTAGATAGCTGGAGGAAGATGGATGACTAACTGAGGGAAATGGGGGAAGTCAGGTGGAAGCCAAGGAGGGATGGCTGAGCAGATGTGTCTGTGATGGACAGGACAGGCTGGTGGATTTGTGGATAGGTGAACAAACAGGATGGCTGTTAGAAAACACACAGTTCAAATGAGCGTATATTCTGGCATGCAGCAGGTTTCTGTGGCTGAAAGCCTCACGTGGTGCCTTTTGGAGGAATAGGGTTCAGTTCCTTCCTAATGACCTGAGTGTTGCACTGTGTTCTGTGGGCAGCCGACTTCCCTGAGGATTCAGCTCCCAGCCTTTGGAAGCACAGCACAAAGTCTGCTTCTCCCCTGGCAATACTGGGCATTTTTCCACAGCTGACAGGTTACAGATCAATGCAGCACACTGATTTTTTCTGCACCTCTTTACATATCTGCTGCCAACAGGCAGAGGCACTGGAGATTCTTCTTACAGCTCTTTGTTTTTCTCCTGTATCTTCCCCCCAATTCCCACACTTCATTGTTACTAAAATATTTACATTGGGGGAAAAAAGCAACTAAACAAACCAGTCCTTAAGGTCAGAGGTATTGTCGTGTTTGGTGTCAGTAATTTCCCAAGCCCTGCAGTGCCACTGCTGCTTTTTGCACAGCAGTTCAGTGCACAGAGAACAGAAATAGTGGCAGCTGTAGCTGCTGTAATTGCAGAGTTCTGCTGCAGCCTGGGACTGTTCCTCAAGGAAATTATAACCTGTTAACACAGCATGTGCTGGGATTTGGTTTTACATAGTACATAATGATACATAACAGACCTTTCCCTCCACGCCTCTCTCCCTGTTCTACTATTTCTGGGGCCTTTTAGTAGCTCTGTAACTTCTCCTCAGAGCCTTGAGATTCCTGTGGCAGACCCGAGTGGTCCATGGAGGAGCAGCTGTGGCAGCTTCCCTCCATTCTGAGGTCACGGCTGAACCAGGATTTGGGATGAGCGGGGACTGTAATTGCAAAGGAGCAAATGGTACTTCCTTGCCAATTAGCAGCACCAGAAGGGAAAACAGTGCATAGTTTGTGGCAGCTTAACGGGGACTTGGGAAAAATATGGTTATTTTTTCTTACATCATTAATGCTGAGAAGGTTTCCATGGTATTTGCATTTGAAATGTCAGCACAGCTGGTGACTGAGCACTCCAGCTCTCTGCTGCGAGGCAGAAGGGTTTTGTAAGCAGCTGAAACTATAGAATATTGGGCAGGTTCAGAGGCAGGTATAGATAGGATGTGACGTGGTTTAACCTGGTGCTGCACACACCTTTCTGTACCAGTTGAAGGTGCACAGGGCGGTGGTTTAAGGCAGGGATTTGTCTCTGGCCAGACACTCTCACATTCAGTGCTGGATACACTGAACTGTGTAGCAAAACCAAAGCCTCACCTTCCTACATCTTCAGCTGCATTTTTATGCAAGCTGCTGAGTTTAGCTGCAGGTTTTATGCCCTGGAGCTGGAAATCTGGGCAGGTGTGAAAAAGGTGACACCTCTCACCTTCCTACTGGGAGAAGTTCAGTGACTTTAAAGGGATGCTCCTGAGAATGACAATTCTGGAGTGTGTTCAGTGGGAGGGCAGCTGTGTCTCTGTTATTAATGAGTGCTGAGCTCTGACCTTGGCCCTTCCCTTAGGATGCCATCGAGGCCATTGCAGAGAGTGCTTTTAAAACGTCTCTGTACCCCGTGATCCTGTCCTTCGAGAACCACGTGGACTCGTGAGTATCCAGTGCTCGGGAGAACCGTGTTCTGTGTCCAGAGCAGAAAGGACACAGGCAAGGGCTGCTGGGTTTGAAGTGAGTGCTGAGCTGAAATGAAACACTCATTGAGGTTTCTGAAACAACTGGAGGTGGGTCGGAGCTGAAGGATGAGCCGTAACCTGCAGAGTGGCGTGGCCACAACTGTGCAGCCTCTCAGCTCGGGGTGGCACTGTGGGAACGTGGGAGTTGGGCTGGGAATGGCACCTCAACATCTGCACGGCTGGGCCAAGGCACTGGGTGGTTTCTGGGTAGAGTTCATGGGTCTCGAGGTGGTGGCTCATGCCAAGCTCTGGATTTGGGTGTCTGTCCCCCTGTTCACTCCTGCCTGGTCTCCTGCAGGCCCAAGCAGCAGGCGAAGATGGCCGAGTACTGCAGGACCATTTTTGGAGACATGCTGCTGACAGAGCCTCTGGAGAAACACCCGGTGAGGGGCAGCTGGGCAAGGAGGCCCGGGAGAGGCCTTCTGGAAAACTTGTCGCTCCTGGTGCTGGGAGGTGCCACAACAGGCAAAAGAACAGTGAAAGAGAACGTGATGCCATGGACAAACAGTCCTGGTTCATAGGGATGGGTGGAGGACTGCCACAGAGGTTTTCCTGAGCGCTCCTGGGACTCCGCTCTTGTTTACACCCTGACCCGAGGGACTCTGGGCACTGAGCTCTGGTGGCCAAATTGTACCAGGGGTATCACATGTGCTTTGGTTCAGCACTGGTTCAGCTCTCTCTGCCAGCCCCTGCTTTGGAAACGGGAACAAAGGCCTGGAAATATTCCCTTTCAGGCATAGGTGGGCAGGGCAGTGCCAGGAATAGCTCAGTAAAGCTCCCCATCCACTTGACCCCAGTGTTCAGCTGACCTGTACAGCAGGTATTTCTGTTGGCCCAGTGACACAGTGGTGCTGCAGCTGCTCTGCAGCTGCAGGTGAAATCCTGGGGAAAATCTGCATGAATCTAGTGGGATATGTTGGCAGATGGAGGAAAGAAAGTGTCCAGTGGGGGAGAGATGTGTCCGTGCAGCAGGAATTGGCCAGAGGGACAGGAGAGGGCAGTGTTTCAATTCTCCCTGTGATGAGGTTTATCTGTTGCAGCTGAAGCCAGGAGTTCCTCTGCCGAGTCCTAAGGACCTCTTAGGGAAAATCTTGATTAAGAATAAAAAGAACCAATCTGTATGTGGGAAGAGGCAGAACTCTTTGAAGAAAGGGAAGAATGTGGAACCAGAAATCATCGAGCAGCCGACCCCTGTGGATGCTGAAGACTCTGGTATGTCTGAAGGGAAATGGGACTAGCAGAGCTAGAAAGGCAAAACCTTCCAAATCTCCCAATACCAGCTTGGGGCAAGCCAGCACTACTCCCTAATTCAGTTAAGCAGCAGCATAAGCTTGGAAGAGAAATTAAATCTTCAGAATATTTTCAACACTTATTGCAACCAAAAAAGACCATGACTTACACCCTGCCTGCCATCCCTTGGTGATTCACTGATACCCACTGGCCCTTGGGTTGGGGGAAGGGGGATGATGGGTTACTGCTTGTAGATCTCTGATGACCACAAATTCACCACAGCTCACATTTCTCCACCCTGAGGGTCTTGGAGGTTTATAGAACCTTCAGCCCCTTTCTCCTCCCTTCCTGTCACCCCTTGGGCTCAGGGCCCCTGTGGGGGAACAGTCCTTGTCATGATACGAACACATGAAGTCATGTGAGGACAAGGGGGACACCTGGAAATGGACATTTATTCTAAAAATACGTGTGACCTTGGTGGGAAAACAACCCTTTGATTGTCACTCCTGGGTGTGAGGGGAGTCCGCAGGAGGAGCACTTTGGTCTCCAGGGTGTGCTGGTCCACAGTGTGTCAGTTCATATTTGGATTTGGCCAGTAAAGTTGTGGGATTCTGCCCCTCACTGTTGCTGATGACTTGGCTGTGAGGTTCTGCACCTGTCTCAGTGTCCTGCTGAGGTACCACTGATGTGGCCTCTGTGCTTAGTCTGGGCAGGTGATGTGGCTGAAGAGGAGCCAGAGGAGGAGGATGAACAGCTCGGAAACCTGGATGAAGAGGAAATTAAAAAGATGCAGTCAGATGAGGTGCTGTCGCTGCTGGTTCTCTTCCTTTTCTCTTTGGCTTCCAGTTTTCTCTGGGCCTCACCTGACTGAGTGGATATGAACCCAAAATGCAAAGGGGAATGAACCTGTCAGGTGCTTTCCTTCCCCTTTTGCAGGACTTTTGCAGGAGAAACTGAATAAGAGAAATTCTGTTGCAAGCACAGAGAATGTGGCAGAGGAGCTGTTATTGCTGACTCTGCCTTTGACACTCCACGTGATTTGGAGAGAACTGTTTGCCTCTGGGCTGTTGGAGAGGCTTAGCCTTGGTCTGATAGAAGTTGTTACTAAAAAAAGTGCTGTTGCTGAAGGGGGAGGGAGGAGATCAGCATTCCTGTGAATGAAAACATCCATTTCCCATTTCTATCTCCCTGGTATCCCTTGGAGAGGAGGGAAAATGGTGTCCCCAGTTTGTTCCAGGCTCCATGCTCTGAGGGGTTAAAGAGGTCCTGGGCTTTGTACGTCCTGACTGGAGCCTCTCATGCACCTCAGTTCAGTTCTTGCCCAGCTGCCTGGAAACTCCGTGCCCTGCCCACCACGGAGCTGTAGGACTGGGAAGCCAAACCGGAGCGCTCTGGTCAGGGCAGCCCCCGTAGCTCTTCCTCTGGGAAGCCCCAGTGGGGTTTGTTTCCTCCCAAGGGAAGGTCTCTTCACGTGTCTCCCCTGGGATGTTCCCTCACAGGGCACGGCCGGCCTGGAGGTGACGGCGTACGAGGAGATGTCCAGCCTGGTGAACTACATCCAGCCCATCAAATTCGACTCCTTCGAGGTCTCTGCCCGTAAGTCCAGCTCGGTCCTTTGGGAATCCAGGCCGAGCATTTCCTGGGCCCTTCGGTGCCCACAGGAGGACAGGGGCTGGGTGTGCCTTTCCTCTGATGCTTCATCATCTCCTGCTTCCAGAGAAGAACCGCAGTTATGTCATCTCTTCCTTCACGGAGCTGAAGGCCTACGACCTCCTGAGCAAGTTCCCTGTGCAGTTTGTAGAGTATCCTTTTGGCAGCCCTCGTCCTGGAGGGCTTGGAGTGTCAGAGCTAAGCTGGAGCTTGGGATTAGGCATATCCAAAGGGCTCCTGGTTCCAGGACCTGGTAGACTCTTCATCAGGGCTAGAAAGTGTGGAGGTGCTGGAGACATGGGATCTTCCAGGGTGGTTTGGGAGCTCTCCAGAGAGATTCCTGACAGGATGCATCCTGCTGTAGTCAATGTCAAGGCTGCCAGATGCTTGTCCTTAAGTGGGAAGGGTATGGAAAAGGAGCCTGGGCCTGCCTGAGCTCTTGTCTGGAAGGCTCTGAGTGTTTGGTAGCCGAGGTTAAACAGTTATAATGGGAACATATGGGCTGTTCCCAGAGAACACTCCAGATTTGTTTCCTATGGAGCCCCCGCAGATACAACAAGCGGCAGATGAGCCGGATTTACCCCAAAGGCACCCGGATGGACTCGTCCAACTACCTGCCCCAGATGTTCTGGAATGTCGGCTGCCAGATGGTGGCACTCAACTTCCAGACCATGGGTGAGTGTCGAGGGTCCTCCAGCCACCAGCTGGGTGAGGACGGGTGCTCCTGGTCCCTGGGGTGCTCCTGATCCCCAGGTGCTCCTGGTCACTGTCTCTTCCTTCACTGCTGTTTCCCTGATGTGTTATTTATTCCAAGTACCTTCTCCCAAGTGCTGTTCTCCACTGGGTCCATCTCCCCCAGCAGCACTTTTCCATATCCAGCACACCCCCACTTCCCCCAAGGAGTGCTGTCAACTGTGTCCAGGCACTGTCCCCGGTGTCCCATTCCACAATGTCCCACTGAATCACATCCCTGAACACACCTGCAGCCCTCTCCCTGAATTGCTGCCCCTTTACCAGGCAGAGGTGCAGCTCCATCTGGCCACAGCACTGCCCTGGCTGTACCATTGTGTCCAGGATTTTGATCTGAATAGGGAGCAAAGGCCTTTCCTTGCTGCACAACCAGCATGAGAAAGAAAGAAAAGCCTCCAGAGAAAGCTATTCCTTACCCCTCTTCCTTCCTTGGAGGAGTGTGTTACGTATAGAGAGTGTAGGAGACAAAAAGGAAGTGACCTGGAAAGGGGGTGAGTGAGAGGCTGGTTCTGGGGGGATGGCACAGTGCAGGCTGGTGCAGGAACCACCAGACAGTGTCCTCAGGACAAGTGTCAGAGAGAAGATGGACTCGGAGGAGGCCCAAAATGAAAGGGGGAAGGAGTCGAGGGGCTCAGGCAGCTACTTATCCGTGCCCAAAAGCAGCGAGTGCTCCTTAAAGTAGGTTTGACTTTAGTTCTGCCCATGCCTTACAGTGCAGGCGTAAGCAAACCACTTCCCTTCGTGCGGCAGCTGCTCTCACGTTTTTCCCTGTGGGGTGCTGAGAGGCCTCGTCAGTTTGTGAGGTGGCTTTGTGAGCCATGGCTGGCAGGGGCCGGGGGCTCCCCGGTGGCACAGGGGTCCCTGTCCCAGCCCCGTGTCTCAGGGTGTGGCTCTGCCCGCAGACGTGCCCATGCAGCAGAACATGGCCCTGTTCGAGTTCAACGGGCAGTGTGGGTACCTGCTCAAGCACGAGTTCCTGCGCCGCCCCGACAAGCACTTCGACCCCTTCTCCCTGGACCGCATGGATGTGGTGGTGGCCAGCACCCTGTCAGTCACGGCAAGTACAGCCCTCTGGGCCACCCGGGGGGCTCATGGGGCACAGGAACCCGGGCGGTGCCTGGGATGGTGCTGCCGTGGCAACCCCTGGGCTTGTTTCCATTTTAAATTAATCATAATCACATGAAAATGGAAAAGGAGCATCTGCCGTGCAGGAGCAGCCAAGGCTGGGATGGTGGGGAGGGAGGAGGTGCTGAAGCAAGAAGCAGGGGTGGAGGTAAAAGAAAAGCTGGAGCAGAAAAACAGACTCTGGGGTCAAGGAACAGGCGGGTCCTTGTGTTTCATTCTCTTCAGCAGTTGCTGACTCTGTTTCTCCTGATCACAGATACTCTCTGGTCAGTTCCTCTCGGAGCGCAGCGTCAGGACCTACGTGGAAGTGGAGCTCTTTGGGTTGCCAAGGGACACCAAACGCAAATACAGAACCAAACTGACCTCCACGGCCAACTCCATTAACCCCGTGTGGAAGGAGGAGGCTTTTGTTTTTGAAAAGGTGAGAACATCTGGGAGTAATTTAGACAGAAAATCCTTAAAGCTCCCTTTGGCCACAAGCACTGCCCTGGGAGAGGTCAGTGACAGCAGAAGGGACATCTCTCTGCAGACCCCCGGCCTGGCTTTGGGCAGGCTCAGATAACACCCAAACAACAATATCCAAAACAACTCTCCATCAGTATTTCCCAGAACAGACAAGGAGTAGCTGGAATTGTGTGGTTGGAAGGAGAAGGGAGTGAAGCTCTCCTTGGAGGAGGATGAGGCTGCTGTCAGGAGTTATAGGTGAGGGCATTGGTGCCTTACTCTGCTTTTCTCTTAGATCATGATGCCTGAGTTGGCCTCTCTGAAAATTGTGGCTTGGGAAGAAGGAGGGAAGTTCATTGGCCATCGTATCATTCCCGTCATCGCAATGCACTCAGGTAAATCTGTGGAAATCCCTTTGGCTTTTGTACCCTTGGGAGCTGTAAAGAAGATACAAACAACTGCATGTTTGGCTCCTTAATGTCCACTCCTGCAGGCAGTGGGGTCATCCTGTTAATGGCCTTGGCTTAGTGCCAGGATATCCTGCCTGTGCCCTCCTGGAAAGAGGGACTTTGGCAGCTGGAGGGCCAGGACTGTGCCAGCCCAGCTCAGTGCTCTGCTCTGTCCCAGGGTACCACCACGTGTGCCTGCGCAGCGAGAGCAACATGCCCCTCACCATGCCCTCCCTCTTCGTGTTCCTGGAGGTCAAGGACTACGTGCCGGACGCTTGGGCAGGTAAGGACACGTTGGAATGTGCGGGGTGGGGGCTCTGCCTTTGTCCAAACTCTGATCCAGAAGCGTTTTCCCAGCCCGGGGAGTGCTTTCCTGCTGCACCCTTCATTCCTGTCAGGGTGGGATTGAGCACGTGGCAGGATCCCGCCCCAGCCCCGCTGCCGTGGGAAGAGCGTGGATGCTCCCACTGCAGCTGTGCCTGGGTCCCACCTGAGGGGGTCAGTCCTACTGTTCCTCAGAGCCAGGGAGAGCTTTCCTTCAGGGAAGAGGTGACAGCTCTCAGAGGCTGGCAAGAACAGGGCTTTTAGGGAGCACAGGAATGGTGTTCTTCCCTGTTGGAAGAGAAGGGAGATTCTTGCTGGTACTGAGGTACAGAGACCTTCCTTTGAAAAGGGTCAGACAGAGCTGCACGAGGACAGAAGCCCTACTGGAGGGATCAACATTCATGACCAAAACCACACTGAAAGTAACAGCATCAGCCACACAGCTTCCTGTGAATACTTCTCACGTTTGCTCCCTCCTCCCCTGTGTTCATACAAATGAACCTTTTTCACTGGGGAAATCCTGAGAAATTGATGGGTTTAACACATTTTTATAAAAAACACGAGTTTATACAGCATTAGACTGGAATTGGAGCAGGGAACTGTGCAGGTGAGGAAAGTCTGAATCTGGCTTTGGATTTTGGGAACAGAGTTGTGAGCCATGGCCTCAGCATGGGACTGAGGTGAGGGTGATCCCCTCCCTTAGTGCTGTCAGGGGGAAGCTTGTTAAAAGCAGAGAACACAAACTGGCCCTTCTCCACAGTGTCCTGTCCTGGGCAGGGAAAATGAGTCCGTGGGTTGTTTGCTGCCCAAGCCAAGCCCTCTGTCTGATTCCAGATCTCACCATTGCCCTCTCCAACCCCATCAAGTTCTTCAACATGCAGGACAAGCGCTCCGTGAAGCTCAAGGATGCTGCAGGGGAGGTGAGTTCTTCCAGGTTCTGTTCTCTAGAGCACCTTGCATGGATTCAGCCTGGAAGAAAAAGCCTTCATTTACCTCTGATCTCTGTTTTAGAGGCCTGGCACACAGAGGAACGTCCCATCTGCTGAGACTAATGGGGTGCCAGACTCTGCCGGGAAACACAGCATTCCTCCCTCCAACGGCTCCACAGGTAAGTTTCCAAGAGCTTCCAAGTACTTTAATGTCTTGGCAGCTTAATTAACTCCTCACGCCAAAATCCTTCACATGGCCTGTGCTCTGGTGAGCTCTCCACTGTCCCTTTCCAACCTCTGAACATCCAAGATGGGACATTAACAGGAGCCTCTTTTGGGATTTCAGGAGCAGCGGCGTTTGCCAGGAATGAAACCGTGTTAGAAGTGATGCAGATGGCAGGTAACTCCCTGTGCTGTTCACCTGGGCTGAGGCCCTGTCAATCAGCTTACATTCCCAAAGTAGAAAGACCTGCCCCAGCCCTGCCTGGTGTAGCCAGCACTAAAGACAAATCCCAGGAATCTTGAGGCTCTGGGTTCCCTTCAGCATCCCTGCACCGTCTGTACGATGTGTGGGTCACCTGTGTCTGACTGCAGTGTGATACAAATCCCTGCAAACACGGGGCCTAATTATGCCACAAAACTGATCTGAAGGCACGAGAGGAAACTTGCTCTGCCCAGGATATATTGCCAAGTAACTGTTATGTACATTAAGTTTTGCTTTTAGAAGTTATTCCTGAAGGGAGCCGTTCCCCAGGACAGAACACGGTACCTGGTGAAGGACATCCCATGGTGTGGGGCAGAGGGGACTCTGGTTGGAATGGGGACTGAGGGACGTGTGCTGCAGACACACCTGCATGTTCTGCTCCATTTTACACATTCCCAAAAAAGTTACTTCCCCTGAGCAGATAATTCTCTGTGGCCTGAGAGCAATGTTGGCCACCCCCATGCCCCCATCCATCAGGGGCAGGAAAAGAGGGAGGAAAAGGAATGAAGGCAGTGCTGAAACCACCTGTGTGACCCCAGAGGGTTTGGCAGCAGGTGGAGAAATGCTGTGGGACAGCAAACATCCTCTGTTTTGTGTTTCAGAGCCTGAGACAGCCACCCTGGCTGAGCTGCAGCAGATGAAGCGCTTCCTGAAGCTGCTGAAGAGGCAGGAGAAGGAGCTGAGGGAGCTGGAGCAGAAGGGAAGCAAACGGAAGGAGGAGCTGCTGCAGAAATACTCTGTGCTCTTCTCAGAGTCCATCTGCCACGAGGGCAAGAAAAGCATGATCCACATGAGGAAAACCCAAAAGAAAAGGTAAATACAGCCCAGGGGTCATCTCCCCAAACCAAAACAGGGATCCCCAGGAGAAACACGGGCTCCCCTTCTCTGAAGGAAGATGGAGCATCCATTTGTCCCTGGGCTGTTCCCATGGGAGTGGGTGGGGAGGCTGGGATTGTATTGGCAGGGCCAAAAGCAGCACAGCCCTGAATGTGTTGTGCAGGAGTGTGACCCAGGGTACCGTTGGTACCTGTGCAAATCCCATGGAAGTGGCAGAGAGTGTGGATCGCCGGCTCCTGGAGCTGAGGGAGAGGCTAGAGCTGGACCTCGTGCACCTCGGGCAGGAGCACCATGAGAGCATCCGGAGGAAGAAGGAGCAGCACGCCACAGAGGTGAGGCTGCAGGGCTCACCAGGAAAGGAATCCTAGGACAACCCCTCGCTGGAAAACTGAAGGCAATGTGGGAGTAGTACAGGAAGTCAGTTGGCCTACTCCAGAAAAACAATCAAATTGGGTAATTCTCCAAGAGGAGGTCCATGTTGCTGGTTTGGTTTTTTCCTGGACTTTCCTAAGAGAATGGTTTTAAAATAAATAAACAAGATTCAGTTTCTTTCTGAGAATATTTTAAGGAATACAGTTAAAAATGAAAATCTAAATAATCAGAAGAAAAAAAAACCTCAGCCACATACTACTTCACCTCATTCTTTTTTAAAAATTACTTACCTCCCTTGATGTTTCTTGTGATCTTTCCTAAAGGAACTTCTCTAGAAAACCTACACTGATGAACCTCAGAACTAAATTTGTGGAAAAAGTGACTCCTCCTATGGAAGGAGAGTTCATGCTTTCAAGGTTGAATCCACAGCAAAAAAATAATTTATAATTTTTCTTTGTTAATGTAATTTGGGGGGGGGTTGAGAGTTTTTTTTGAAGAAAACCTGTACTTGAAAGTTTTCCATGTAGTACTAACTCCCATCTCACCTGGTCGATTCAGCGAGCCTTTAGGAGCTAACACATTGAGTATCTTTCACAGAGCTGATATATAAACAAAGTTTTAGTTTGCCAGAATTTTTTATCAGATGTTAATTTTTTATTTCATGTCAAAAACAAGTTTAGGATTTTCCCGGATATCATCTTAAACACCGGGTAATTCGGTTTAAAAATTATATATTTTTATTTGCTCCCTTTTGATGTTGTTTTCATCCCTTGTCCAGCAAGTTGCCAGGATCCTGGAGCTGGCCAGGGAAAAGCAGGGAGCCGAGCTGCGGGCGCTGCGGGACACGGCGGAGAGGTAAACACAGCCCTGGGAACCCAGAGAGTGCCCAGCTCTGCCCTGGGAGGGCAGGGAACGGGAGCATTTCCTTTCCTCCACTCCAAGGTGTGAGTGACATCATGGGAGAGAAATGCTTAGATACTGGAGGATAAACTGGAAACTGGGAAGGTGGAGGAGGGGAAAAACTCCTGTACGCTTGTTCTTTTTTACACTTCCCTTCAGCACCTGCTGCTTCCACTGTTGGGGGCAGGACACTGACTTTAGGAGGAATCTTTGTTAGGAACCCCTTGAAAAACAAACAAACAGAAAAAGCTTAAATAGGACTTAAAATATTCTTAAGCCTTCAGGCCTTCTGCTGCCTGACCCCTCCCCGGTGGCATTTGTGACCAGCAGAGCGCTCCAGAGGGATGGGATGGGGGGCTGCTCCCGTGCTGGTGCCCAGACCTGTCTCTCCTCTCTCTCCACAGCAACGTCAAGGACATCAAGAAGCGGCTGGAGGCGAGGAGGGTGGAGCGGATCCATGCCCTGCTGAGGAACACCAGCGACAAGGCTGCTCAGGAGAGGTGCCGGATGCTCCCAGGCCATGTCCGTGCGGGATGCAGGGCCTGCTGCTGCCCGGGGAGCTGAAGGAGTAGAATTCTGCATCCAGTTCTTTACCTTATGTCTCAGACACCTTGGAATGGTGTTTTATTTGTCTTTCCTAAATTGCAGTGGGTTCTCCGTGTGCCAGGACATGGTGGGGATGTAGCACCCGTGTGGATGGGTGTGGCACGGATCCATAGGGACAGGGGGTTGGATGGGGACACAACAGCTGGATTACACGTGTCTGTGCTTCCCTTCGAAGGTCCAAGAAGGAAATCAACAACTCCCACATCCAGGAGGTGGTGCAGACCATCAAACGGGTGAGTTCACAGGGATGTCTGCGGGTGTGGGAGGGTCGGGAGTGATGGGAAAACCTGGCAGGAGCACAGACACACTGAGCACGTTGGAGCTGCCCTTTGGAGACCCAAAGCTAAGTCCGTGTCTGTGTGTCTGTCTGTGACACGCTGTGTCTGTCCGTGGGTGTGTCCCTGCTGTCCCTGGGCATCTGTGCATGTCCGTGTGTCCATCTGTGTCCTTGTGTCTGTGTGTCCGTGTGTACATCTGTGTCCGTGTTTTGTGTGTGTCCTTGTCCATGTATCTGTGCCTGTGTGTCCATCTCTGTGTCCACGTGTCTATCTCTGTGTGTCCTTGTCCATTTGTCCATCCGTGTGTCTGTGTGTCCATCTGTGTGTCCATGTGTCTGTGTGTCCGTGTGTTGGTGAGTCCCTGTGTCTGTCTGTGTGTCATCCCTGAGTCTGTTTGTTCCTGTGTCCGTCTGTCCCTGTGTCAGTCTGTGTCCATGTGTTGGTGTGTCCATCTGTCCGTGTATCTGTCCCTGTGTATGTCTGAATGTATGTCCATATGTCTGTGTGTCTCTATGTCTACCTGTGTCTGTCTGTATGTCCGTGTGTGTCCCTGTGTCTGTCTGTGTCTGTGTATCTGTGTGTCTCTCTGTTTGACTCTGTCCATGTGTCTGTCTGTCCTTCTGTCTCTCCATCTGTCCGTGTGTTCATCTGTTTGTTCGTCTGTCTCTCCATGTGTCCTTCTGTCTGTCCCTGTGTCTGTCTCTCTGTCCATCAGTCCATGTGTCCTTCTGTCTCTCCGTTTTTCCGTCTGTGTGTCTGTCCGTGTGTCCATCTGTCTGTCTGTTTTTCCACTGTCTATCTGTCTGTCCCTGTGTCCCTCTCTCCATCTGTCTATATGTCCATCTGTCTGTCCGTGTGTCTGTCTTTCCATATGTCTCTCTGTCTGTGTGTCTGTCTATCCATGTGTCCATCTGTCTGTCCCTGTGTCTGTGTATCCGTTTGTCTGTCTCTCTGTCCATCTGTCCATGTGTCCATTTCTCTGTCCACGTGTCTGCGTGGCTGTTTGTCTGCGTGTCCGTGTTTCTGTCTGCGTGTCGGTTTGTCTGTGTCTGTGTGTCAGTCCCTCTGTGTCCATGTGTGTGTCCGTGTGTCTGTTTGTCTGTGTGTCTGTCCATGCATCCATCTGTTGTTGTATCTGTGTGTCTGTGTCTGTTTGTTTGTATGTCCAAGTGTCTGTCTGTCCATGTGTCTGTGTGTCCATGTGTCCATCTGTGTGTCCGTCTGTCCATTTGTCCTTCTGTCTGACCCTGTGGCCATCTGTCTGTGCATTTGTCTGTCTGTCCGTCTGTCTGTCAAACTGTCTGTCGGTCGGTCTGTCCGTTTGTCCATCTGTCTGTCCATGTGTCCGTCTGTCTGTCCATCCGTCTCTCTGTCCATCAGTATGTGTGTCTTTCTGTCTCTCCGTTTCTCTGTCTGTGTGTCCGTCTATGCATCCATCCCTGTGTCTGTCAGTATGTCCATATGTCTGTCTGTCTGTCTCTGTGTCCATCTGTCTGTCCATCCCTGTGTCCGTCTGTCTGTCTGTTTGTCTGTCTGTTCATGTGTCCATCTGTTTTTCTGTGTGTCTGTCCATCTGTCTGTCCCCATGTTCTTCTGTCCATGTGTCCAGCTGTCTGTCTGTGTTTCCGTCTATCTGTCCCTGTGTCCATCCGTCTGTTCATGTGTCTGTCTGTGTGTGTCCGTCTGTATGTCCCTGTGTCTGTTTGTCCATGTTTCTGTCTGTCTGTCCATTTGTCTGTCTGTCTGTTTGCTTGTTCATCCATCTGTGTGTCCATCTGTCTGCCCAAGTCTCCATCTATCTGTCCCTGCGTCCATCCATCTATCTCTCTGTCCACATGGCCATCTGTCTGTCCATCTGTCCATGTATCCGTCTGTCTGTCTGTCTGTGTTTCTGTCAGCCTGTCTGCCTGTCCATGTTTCTGTGTCCATCTGTCCATACATCCGTCTGTCTGTCCCTGTGTCTGTCTGTCCATCCGTGTTTCTGCCTATCTGTACATGTGTCCGCCCCTCTGTCCGTTTGTCTGTTCATCCGTTTGTCTCTGTCTCTGTCCAGTCTGTGTGTCCATTTTTCTTTCTGTTTCTCCATCTGTGTGTCTGTCTGCCCATCTCTCCGTGTGTCCCTCTGGCTGTCCATCCATCTGTCTATCCCTATGTCCTTGCATCTATCCGCGTGTCCCTCTGTCTGTCCATGTGTCCGTCTGTCTGTCCATCTGTACGTGTGTCTGTCTGTCAGTTTGTTCATCCGTCTGTTTGTCTGTGTGTCCCTCTGTTTCTCCATCTGTCCCTTTGTCTGTCTGTCTGTCCAGCTGTCTGTCCCTGTGTCTGTCTGTCCGTCCATGTTTCTGTCAGTCTGTCCATTTGTCTGTCTGCCCATGTGTCCATCTGTCCATGTTTCTGTCTGTCTGTCCGTCCATCTGTCAGTGTCTGTTTGTCTGTCCCTGTTTCCATCCGTCTGTCCATGTGTCCAGCTGTCTGTCTGTGTTTCCGTCTGCCTGTCTACGTGTCCATCCGTTTGTCTGTGTGTCCGTCTGTCTGTCCAAGTCTCCATCTGTCTGTCCATTTGTCCATCTGTCTGTTGGTCTGTCTGTTTGTCTGTCTGTCCCTGTGTTTGTCAGTTGTGTGTCCGTCCATCTGTCAGTGTGTCAGTTTGTCTGTCTGTCCCTGTGTCTGTCCATCTGTCCGTGTGTGTGTCTCTGTGTCTGTCTGTCTGCGCGTCCGTCTGTTTTTCCATCTGTCTGTCTGTCCATGTGTCTGTGCCTGTGTTTGTCTGTCCCTGTGTCCGTCTTTCTGTTCTGTCAGTCTGTCCATATTTCCGTCTGTCTGTCCCTGTTTCCATCCGTCTATCCATGTGTCCATTTGTCTGTCCAAGTCTCCATCTCTCTGTCCCTGTGTCCATCTGTCTGTCCATTTGTCTGTCTGTCCCTGTGTCCCTCTGTTTGTCCACTTGTCTGTCTGTCCGTGTGTCCAGCTGTCTGTCCATGTTTCCGTCTGTTAGTCTGCCTGTCTGTCCCTATGTCCATCTGTGTGTCCATTTGTCTGTGTGTCCATCCATCCGTATGTCTGTCCGTCTGTCCATCAGTGTGTGTGTCCCTGTGTCTGTCTGTTCTGTGTCCGTCTGTCTGTCCCTGTTTCCATCTGTCTCTGTGTCAGTCTGTCCATCTGTCGCTGTGTCCATCTGTCAGTTCTGTGTCTGTCTGTCCATCTGTCTGTCCCTGTGTCCATACGTTCGTCTGTCCGTGTGTCAGTTTGTCTGTCTGTCCCTGTGTCTGTCCATCTGTCCATGTGTCTGTCTCTGTGTCTGTCTGTCCGTGTTTCCCTCTGTTTGTCCATCTGTCAATCTGTCCGTCTGTCCATTTGTCCATCTGTCCATGTGTCCATCCCTGTGTCTGTCTGTCCGTGTTTCCATCTGTCCGTCCATCTGTGTTTCTGTCTGTCTGTCCCTGTGTCCATCTGTCTGTCCCTGTGTCCATCTGTCTGTCCCTTTGTCTGTCTGTCCCTGTGTCTGTCTGTCCGTGTTTCCATCTGTCTGTTCATCTGTCCGTGTCGATCTGTCTGTGTGTCCATCTGTTCATGTGTCCATCCCTGTGTCTGTCTGTGTTTCTGTCAGTCTGTCCATCTGTCTGTCCATTTGTCTGTTCATGTGTCTGTCTGTCCATCAGTGTGTCTGTCCCTGTGTCTGTCTGTTCTGTGTCCCTCTGTCTGTCCATATTTCCGTCTGTCTGTCCCTGTGTCCATCTGTCTGTCCCTGTGTCAGTCTGTCTGTGTTTATATCTGTGTGTCCATCTGTCCCTGTGTCCATACATCCATCTGTCCATCTGTCAGTGTGTCAGTTTGTCTGTCCATTTGTCTGTCTGTCCCTGTGTCTGTCCATCTGTCTGTGTCTGTCTGTCCATGTGTCCAGCTGTCTGTCCGTGTTTCCCTCTGTCAGTTTGTCCATCTGTCAATCCGTCTGTCTGTCCATGTGTCCATCTGTTTTTCTGTCTGTCCCTGTGTTGTCTGTGTTTCCATCTATCCATCTGTCCCTCTGTCAACCCATTTGTCTGTCCAGCCATCTGTCAGTGTCTCCGTTTGTCTGTCCCTGTGTCTGTTTGTCTGTCTGTCCATGTCTCCATCCCTGTGTCCATCTGTCTGTCCATGTGTCCATCCATCTGTCCATATGTCTGTCTGTGTGCCCAGCTATCTGTCTGTGTTTCTGTCTGTCTATGTGTCTGTCTGTGTGCCCAGCTATCTGTCTGTGTTTCTGTCTGTCTGTCCCTGTGTCTGTCCATTTGTCTGTTCATCCATCTGTCTGTCTGTGTTTCCCTCTGTCAGTTTGTCCATCTGTCCCTGTGTCTGTCTGTCCATTTGTCCCTCAATCCATTTGTCTGTCCGTCCCTGTGTCCATTTGTCTGTTCATCTGTCTGTTTGTCCGTGTCTGTCTGTTTCTCCGTATGTCTGTCTGTCCCTGTGTCCATCTCTCTGTCTGTCCATCTGTCAGTGTGTCCATTTGTCTGTCCCTGTTTCCATCTGTCTGTCCCTGTGTCCGTCTGTCCGTATTTCCGTCTGTCTGTCCCTGTTTCCATTTGTCTGTCCAAGTCTCCATCTGTCTGTCCATCTGTCGGTTCTGTGTCTGTATGTCTGTC